GTTTGGTGCTGCGGTCCCAGCTCTGTGCCAACATGTCCGGTGAGGTAAGGGGCCGTGTAGGGCCACTTACGGCTCTCCTGCTCTGCGTCTTGCAGGGGAGTCTCTCCCGGGCACCCGGCTCCCTCCTGGCCTGAACATCTCACGAAGTAAGCTGCTGCTTATGGAAGCTCATGCATCACCTATTGAGTTAGTCTAGAGGTTCAAACCTCTGAGTACAAAGGCCAAGGCAGCAGGGAGAGACTCTCTCTGGAGTCTGAGTCTGAGTCTGGCATGCCTGAGTTTAGCCCACACGGCATTAAGTATCTCCCAAGAAAGGCTCCTGATGCTAAATCCTAAGAGCTTTTGAGCCTCCAAGTGTCTGCAATCCCATCATCTTCAAAGGCACTATTCATGAGCACTTATTCTAGCCAGTAAGACAGTCACCAGCATCACCGTAGCCTACCGAAATCTAAGCCTACGAATGCCTACTGCAGTAATTTTATCATCAGGCTTTTACTTTTGAACAATAGCCCCTGAAAGCCAGAGCTCAGAAATCATAAAACAGGCTGCTATGCACTTGTGGTTTGAAACAGTATTAAATCATTTACTATACAGATGATTTGTTGGACCTTTAGCCATGTCCCATCCACCATAAGCTGGAGCTCACATACATTTCCATCCCTAGCTACACCTCTGGACCAAGAGTTGTAGAGCCAGGCTATATGCCACTCTCTCCCAGGTTATTCTCTGAGAAACACAAACCAACATGCTTTAACACCATTTAGAAACAAGGTTTTTGGTTTCTCTTCATCTAAAAGAGCAAATTCTATATTTTTCTGCCCTATCCTCAAAGGTCAACTGCAATTTTTCCTGAGTTTTACAGGCACTTCCTTTAACAGATTATTATACACTCTTCTTTAAATGAGCAAGCATTCAAGTATACAACTGATTTGAAGAGTACCTATATATTTCTAATTAGGTAAGAAAAATCATAAAAAATGGAAATTTTCCAGAGGCTGAAATAAAGCTGTGTATTTCCAAAGGCTAAATAATGACTGTATTAACTATTAACAGTATACTTACAGTAAAATGCATTAACAAAAAAAGCCACCAAGACTGTTAGTCACTGAAGAATTAGCATTGCAGTAAATGCTCATCTACTACAGACTGGTTTCCATGTTACTCGGTGGTGTTAGACAATATAGCGCAATTGAAGTAGGATAATCACATGCACTTAGCAGTACAAGAGGCTACGTGCATACATAAAGTTAAAGGAAAAAGAGACACTGTATATATGCAAAATAATATCTAATGACAATGATGCAGGCAGTGGCTGCAAGGAGCCAGAACGAAGGTTGCAGAGTCAGCTGGCATTCTTTCATTGAAATGCTTGGCTATGCAACCTGCACGGGCTCCTGCCATGACAAGGAGGAGGGTCATGAAAAATTCTTTTTTAAAAAAGGGAGTGAAACAAAATCCAAAGGAGTGTCCTCTCCAGGGCCCTGAAGTTGCCTTTGCTTTCAAAATGCCTGGAAGAGACGCGTGTTTGTTCCATAACCCTCGCGGGCTGGCTCAATGTAGTGAACACCGATGCTCTTCTCTGGAGCCCCAGTGTCCAGCTGACTAACGGGAGGACTCCCCCGAGCCGACAACACTCACTCCACGATGCTGCTGGTGCTCCTGGCATGTGAGCGACACTTGGCGCGTTGGGCGCAGAGCAGGGGCAGCGGCTGAAGAGCGCACGGGGGTGCTGGGGAGGCCCCTGCTGCACCACAGCTCAGCCACCTCTCTTATACAGTTCCCAAGCTCGGCAGGAGAGGGAGGATGGTGTCCTGAGCAGGGGATGGGGCAGGCAGCCTCCTAAGGGCCCTCCCAGCCCTGCATTTCCAGCCAGTTCTCTGAGGAACCGTGCCATAGCTGTGCTCCCCGTCAGGAGGAGCCCCGCATGAGTACAGCTTCAAGAACTCTGCCTCCTGTGCTGCTAACTTTGCCAGACCCTGGGGTCCTAGAGCAGAGTGAAGTATCGCCCTGGAGCAGCCACCGGACAGAGGAGTCTTGCCCCAGATCTCACATGGCAGCTGCTGCAACTGAGCTCGTTAGAAGATCTGGCCCTGGGCATTCAGCTACATTAGCGACACGCTTCCTCACTTAACACAGAGCAACATCAACGGTACACATGCTTAGACCCAATTTTCAAATCCAACAACTTGGCCAAATACAAACCTCTGCTTCTCCCTGACAAAGCCTTGACATGCCCGTCTGCTTGTTGCGAGCTCATCCCATGCCGGATTTCAGCTGCCAGACTCCTCATCTTTGGCACTAACACTCAAAAATAATCACCGGTCTATCATTGACTGATACTTTTTCTAGTTTCCCGTGTGCTCAGAGGCTTGACTGACCGTGGGTGCAAACCAAACCTAGAGGGCTTCAGTCCAGAGGATGAACGTTTCTGAATAGAAACACCTGAAAACAGGAATGCAGAATGGGGCAGTCCCAGGTCAGTGGTCCTTGCTGCTCCTGCCCTATTGCCTTTATGGAAATCAGTGTTAGACTCTCCTGGGATATCCTCTTCAGATTCAACCACTCCATCTCAAAGAGCAAAGAGCCCCAGAGAAGATTAGTTGGACACTCCTGTTTGCACTTTCTCAGATATGAAAACCAGGGGAGACCACGACACACAAACACTGCACAACTCAAACCTTTGTACAGAACACAAAGCCAAGCTGTGGAAATCAGTGCCACAAGGTATGGTGGCCAAGCTCTTATTAGGATATATAGAGGTGTATATAAAAAGATTAGACAAATACATACATAACATATGCATTTAAACCAGCTATAATAAAAAAGTAGAAAGGATAGAAAAAAATAATCACACTTCAGAACATTAAACCAATCTGTAGCTGCCGAGGGTTAAAAACCTTCCCCTGTGAGGAAGGGGCTTTTGTGCCCCTACTTCTGAAGCATCTGGGAACAGCCACTATGACAGACAGGACACCAGACTAGATGGACTTGGAGTCCAGTCTGCACTGCGGCTTACCGACTCTAACCCAGTTTGGCCGGCGGACATGGATGTGGCCAGTCACACTGGGGTGGGGGCAAGCCTGGCAGTGCAGACTGAACTAGCAGGGGAAGAACCTGGCAAGGACGAAGCAAGAGCTATGGCAAGAAAACCACTCTACGGTAAGTGGAGCTGCCCCGGACTATTAGAAAAGCCCCTGAGAAGTGTGTTTGGAAGCAGTCAGGGTTACGTGGGGAGGGTCCCCCAAGCTGCGTGAGGACCCAGCTCCTCCTCCAATGCATTTACACAGAGGTTGGAAACACGGTTTGTCTTTAGCACGCGCTTGAGAAAGAACGGAGGCGCTGGCACGAGGAGGGGTCAGACGTACTCCCTAGCTGTAGAGGGCTGCGACTGCCTGTAGTACTGCTGTCCTCTCCTCTCCTCGGCAGGGCACGAGCAGCACAGGAAGGAGCCTCCCAGCATGGTCACGCTGGCAGCTGCCCAGCCAACAAACAAAGCGGAGCCAAATTCATACCTGGAGCGAGAGAGAAAAGAGACCTGCTGATGTTTGCGCAAGAGTGCTTGAGGGACAGTGGGGAGCAGAGCGCCTGCTTCTCAGCTGAGCAGGAGAGGGGAGGACCCTCGTGCCCACACACAGACATGTACTCACATTAAATGCCTGGGCACCAGTATGGGTCCAGGGCTGGCTACAGCTGTAGACGCCAGCCTGTGCCTTAGCAATGACCAAGATGGATACCGGAAAAAATCCAGAATACCTTTTAGAGCACAAACCTTTGCTGCCAGGGGCTAGGAAGAACCTTCCCCAGTAAGGCATCTTCCTTGGGTCCCCTGAGGAGGAATGTCTCACCTTTGACAGCTTGTCTAACTTTATCCCAACTCCACGGTTGGTCCAATAAGAGAGACCACCCTAAGACATCCTCGTGCAAAACACCACTCTTACACTGCCAGGCAGGCATGATATTCTGCACCTTTCTCAGCAGCTAATAATGGCCCATTTCCCAGACAGGGCACTGGACTAGATGGGCCCCAGGCTTGACAAGCTCTTGCAATTCAGGTATCAGGAAAGGTTTCAGGAGAGACGGAGCTACTGCAGAAAACAGCGACATGAAAGTCCCCCTAGAGAAGCACAGCTAATCTCTCTGGGGACCAAGCAAAACCATGAGCACAGGGTGATGGGAATGGCAAGCAAGACTGAGGGCACTGGCCTGAGAAAACAGGGGATGCAGAGGGCAGGGAGCCGGCAGAAGCAGAACAGGTCTTGTGCTTGCTTAGCCGTGATGAAGCCTTGTATAAAATGAACCGAGGCCCGTGGGGCAGGTATGGAGGAGCAACAGCACTAGAGGAGAGCGGGAAACAGGTGAGCCAGCACTGGCCTGGCACACAGGTGAGTCCCGGGTGTGAGGACATGCCTGTTCTCTACACCTGTGTCGGGAAGCCGGGCAGGCATGGGGCTGGGGCAGGCGGACGCCAGGTGGAACCAAGGGATGGGCACCAGGCTCCCAATCCCCTGCCTGCAGTAGGGCACCTCTGAGGCCGCCATGCCGCTAATAAGCAGAACACTACTTTCTCCTGCAATACCTGCAGAAGAGGGCTCTTACCTGGCATTAACTGGGGTGCTCGGGTGGAAGAATTCACGGGTCACTTGTGTTGCATACCACGAAACAGCTGTTAACGTGCACAGACCTGGGTAGAGGCAATGAAAACTAAAACACACAGCAAATCACCGACTTCCCGAGGTCTCAGGGCAGCCTTCCTATTACCCACTTTACATTATAATATAAGAACCAGGTTTAGAAGGTATTTAGGGTCTTTCATGCTTTACTTTGCATAGCCTCTTTGGCTCACAGGTTCCAGAAGAGACAGGAATTGGAGTCTGGGGCTCCTCTACCCACGTGGGCCAGCATTATCTGTTTGCATTCAGACCTGTGGCTCTTCTGGTGAAGGTCTGAGGCAGACTAGTCCTTCCTCACATAATGGGAGACTGGGGTGCACTTGATCACAAATAGCTACAACTGTCATAAGGTTGCTTAGAAATATCATACAGCTCTAAAGAGACAGCTGGACAGACAGGAGGGACAGGCCCTTACGATGGCAAGGCTAAACGTGCTTTAAATGTGCACGTGTGAATGACTTCAGTGAAGTCAAATGGGTCGTTTGCTGGTCATGCTAGTATAGCTCACAGCAGCGTTTGGATGCTCTCTTTAACAGTCCAGATCCCTTTGAAAGAAGAATAAAAATAAAGTGCCAAACTACAGAGTGAATTATTTTTTGTGTAGCAAAACCTCTCTAACCAAAGAGGGTCCCAGACCAGAAAAGGGTCGTTTGCCCCATGCGCTGTTCAGGACAGCATTATAACCCCGGGCCTTGGAGCAAGGGGAATTCCTGGGCATGCGATAAGCAAGCAGACGTCTTCCCTTGCAAGGTGGCGCAGACTGCAACTACCTTTGGTCGTGGCAACATTTTCGGGCACTTGGAGCATGGCAAGGGGCCAGGACATCTGTTTGCTATTCTAACATGATGGAAGCACAACAGAAATGGCAAGAGACCCCCGTGTTGGCACAAGGAGCTTCTAGGGGGCCTCCACATTGAAAGTAAAACATCCAGGCAACGCTAGGACAGGCCCAGGAAATAGCAAGGACAAAATCACAGGGACAAAGGTAAAAAAAAAGAGCTGGTGAGGGAAGTTATGGACAGCAAGACAAGGGTCTGCAAATGCACTGATTGGAAAAGACCAAGGAGGCTGAGTCCACAGCTAATAGCCACAGTGAGCTTTTAATAGGAGCTGAAGAAGGCCGAGCTACTCGAGAGCTGCTTTGCCTTGGTCTTCACGAGAAAGACAGACTGCCATCAAAGACCTAATAAAGATTATACAGACTTGACAGGCAACCACCTAGGGGCTGTGATGAGGAATGAGATTGTTGGAGAGCTTGCAATGGGGTTGAACGAATCCAAGTCAGCATGCCTGGTGAGCTCCATCCCCTGGTAGAGATCTCAGAGCCCTGGGCAATAATATCTACCTAGTCACGCGTATCAACTCATGCCGTGCCCCTGACAACAGACAACTGGCCTAATAGCCACAAGCAAAGGGTGCTGGGATGGCAGAAGGCTTTGAGTACATCCTGTTGTCTCTAATCCAGATTTCCAATCTGCTAAAGTCCTTCTGAATTGTATTCGTGTCCTCCAACATTTGCAGTCCTTCTCTGCTTTGTGTTGTCTGTAAACTTGCTCTGGAAGCTCTCCATTCCAGCATCCAGATCATTAACAAACCCACTGACAGCACCAGACTCGGGACAGGGCCCTGTGGGGCTCCACTCAAAGCCGCCTGCTGCCTTGTGAAGACTCAGGCATTCAGTGCTAATAAATCCAAGGTGCTACACCTCAGGAAGCAGAAATACATCAACTGTGGAGAAGGATCTTTGGGTCTTGGTGGATCACAGACCCGGCATGAGTCTGCAGTGTGAGACATGCAAAAGAGGTGAATGCAGTTTTGGATCAATAGAAACATTTGGTGCAAGACATAGGAGATAATAGTGCCTCTGCTTGGCACTGCTAAGGCCTCACTACAGGACTGCACGCAGTTCTGGGCTCTCAATTTAAAGTGGACATGGAAAAGTTAGAAAGGATGACAAAAATTTAAAGGGCTTAGAAGGCAAGACCCACAAGGAGAGGTTGAGAGTAACAGGCATGTTCAGCTTGAGGAAAAGGTGTTTGAGAGGAGACAAAACAGCGGTCTTCAAATATCTGAAAGGCTGCCATAAAGAAAAGAGAAGACAACTTTTCTCCCTCTGCACAGAATAAGACAGGTAGCAATGGCTGAAATTTCAGCAAAGTGGGTTTAGACCGCACATCAGGCAAAACCTCTTTATTGTCAGAAGAGCGAGGCAGTGGACTAGGCGCCACGGGAAGCTGTGCAAGCTCCTTCACTGGAGGTGCTCAAGAAGAGGGTGGACAGGCTTTGTTCAGGGCTGATCTGGAAGCAGCTATGCTTGGAGTGTGCTGCGAAGCCAGGGGACCCCCCCGCCCCCACGAGCCTTGTTTGGGGATCACGAGAAGAGCGGGCAGTCCGGAGCAGGTGGAAATGGAAGAATGAAGCCAAGATCAACTATCTTGGCTGTAAACGAGATCAATTATCAGCAGAGATGCCGGACTCTGGAGGCAGAGCAGGGTCAGGATAGACCTGGAGTTGGCAGTCAACACCAGAGATCCCACCGGTGAAGCAAGGAAGCGCGGGAGGGCCAGGAGCAAACACCTGGGTCTTTGTCTGGGCACAGTGCTGCAGGCTGGGCCCTGGAAGGTGCAGCGGTGGGGCCTGTGGCCTCAGGGACCGACCACCCTGACTGCCCCAACAGGCCCAGCTGGGCCCAGGGCACTGACCTGGACTTGCCACAAGTGGCGGCTGCTTCCCTGCAGCCTCAGAGGAAATGCCCGTTCTCGGATTGGGACTGGCTGTGCCTGGGCTCTGAACTGGCCTTGTTACACGCTCCTCCAGCTACAGAGGAGGGCAAACCCCCCGCAGTCTGCGCCAATCTGAGCACGGGGGAAAATTCCTTCCTGACCCCAAAAGGGTAGGAGCAATGCCTCTAATCAGGCACCTCTACTATGTCCCAGCAGCAGCACTGACACCCCATCAAACCCCCCGCCTTGGCTGCAGCTGACACACGTCTTCTGAAGAAAGTGACTGCCCCCTCAACAACAGCAGCAAAAGGGGAAAATTTCCTTCCCGGCCCCTTGTGGCAACCAGAAAAGCCCAGAAGCCCGGGAACGTGAACCACGAACCCCCACCACTCTGCGCTGCAACCTGGGCCCGCAGACACAGCTCCACACGTGGCAGCGCTAGCCGGGGGCCAGGGCCGTCAGGAAAAGGGCTTGCGACTGAGCTGGGCAGCCCTGGGGAAGGAAGCCGTCCGACTCCATCAGACACAAGGGTCGCTTCTCCGAGTCACATCTCCTAACCGGACACGTTCTCCTACCCCTCCAAGTGAAAACTGGACTCCCCTTACTTCTGACCAGCTCAGTGGCCTGGAAGAGCAAGCGCCAGATGGCAGAACGTGCCGAGACACCCAGCTCTGCCCAAGACGACGTACGCTGGAGAGACATCGGCATCTACCCCATCACCGAGATCATTCACCTCTCCCAAGGGACATAGCACGCCCCGACTCGGAGCCCACTTGCCCATTCAAAGGCTGAGAGGCTATTAGGTCCCCAGGTCCAGGCCAGTGTCACCAGTATGACAGTGGCCAAATCCCAGATTATCCCCAAAAGGCGACAAACAGGGGGTCGTGGGACCAGACCTTGGCTCACCTGAGAGGATGAAGAGGATGCCCCCTGCGATGGCAATCCGACTTTTAGCAACAGGGTTTTCATCCCCGACTTTTGTGCACTTCATTCCCGCCACGCTGACGATGATGCCCAAGAAGCCCAGGAGGATAGCTACCACCATGAGTGCGCGGGACGTCTGGATGTGGACTGCAAGGCAAGAGGCGAGCGGGTCAGCCGGCTGCACCGCAGCGACCCAGCGAGGAGGGAGGACGGAGGAGGAGCTCTCCTGCACCCACGTCCTGCCCTGTTCCCCAAGCACTGCCAAGGGGCTAAGGGCAAGTCGTGTCTGGGGTCCCGCTGTTGTGTGGACCTTGCTCCCCCACAGCTCAGTGGGAGCCAGGCAGGCCCCAGAGCCCGGTCGGCTCTCCCCTGCCCACCCCTGGCCCCCAGGGCGGAGGCCTCTCCCATGGGCAGGGCAGCGACTGCCCGGCCCCTCCAGGCTGCCTGCCGGAGAAGGAGCTTGGTTGCCTGGGGCGAGCTGCCCTGAGGCTGCGTGCGGCACGTCCTGGCTCGGGACTCACTTTGCTCTGCCCTGCCAGTCCCTTCCCCGCGGTCGGGGCCTCCCAAGTGTTCACCACAGCCCCGCGGGAGCCCCCTGCCCCTCTCCGGCCACCGGGCTAGCTCAAGCACCCGCTGCAGCCCTGTGGGAGACCCCTGTCCACCCTTCCCCGTCGGGGTGTCCCAAGTGTCTGCCGTGGCCCCACGGGCAGCCCCCAGCCCCTTCACCAGCTGCCGGGGCATCCTGAGCACCGGGCCACCCTGAGCCCCCTGCCCCTCTCTGGCCGTTGGGGTAATTCGAGCACCCACTGCAGCCCTACGGGAGACCCCCACACGCCCTTCCCATGAGCATGTCCCGAGCACCGG